ACACACATTTAAAATGTTATCTTTTTTTTATTTATTAACATCACATTATTTGCAGAATAGCTGTAGGAACACCGTGGTTCTTAACGAATGTGGATCTCCATGATGACCTGGAACTTGACTCAATCAGTAAGTATATGCAGTCGGCATCAATACGCCGCTTTGAGAAGGCGGCACGACACGAAAACCCTCTTGTCGTAGCCGCTGGAAATCACACACTCGATCCTGTGGCCCGAAAGGTAAACAGTCGACGTCACCCTAAACACGTCATTACGGATCCTCCCGATCCATTAACAGTGCTTCAGGTACCTTAAGCAACGTTGGCCGTCCTTGCTGAACCCGTCGCTTGCGACGAAGGGCTCCACGAGTAAATTAACGCATAGATACGTTTCCAATCCGGTGGTAGGTTCTGCGAAGCACTACTCTTGCTAGGGCCAATGCTAGCAACATTCCCGGTTTGAGCCCCGTGAGCTCACCTACACGTCAAGGAGAAGCTGAAATAGCCTCTCAAGGCTATCAGTATAGGTAGGGAAAAAAAATTACACTATGCAAAATTCTCGACAATGTGTAATTGTTCATTTTTCACATTGTTTATTGTTTACTTAACAGACTTCTGCAAAAACTATTACTTAAGAACGAAAACTTTTTTTTTTTTTTTTTTTTTTTTTTTCTTTATCTTGCAATCAGTCAGCTAGACTATGAGCAGATGTGTTGAGGGCTGTTAGACGGTCAGAGCAAAATCTCCATCGAGACTGCTCCACTCTGTCAACCGTGTCTATCAAGACTTAGGATTTGTCGCCTTTTAAGCCTATTTATTAGGTCCGGTGTGGTTAGTTGCGTGGCAAGCTTATTAGGATGCATTTCTAGCCTTTTTCTGTATTTCATACTCCAGGTCTTGATTTCCTGTTTAACAGTCCTGATTTTGAGGTGTTCATGAANTCTTTTGGGATTGTTTTATAAACATTTGTTCTATGACTTTATAAGAGTCTGGTTGATGGATTGTATTGTTTTGATGTACCTGAGATCTGACCGTATCGGCATACGATTTGTGCTCATGTGCTTTCCTCTGCTCCTGCAGCGGTTCAATTTCCTCTTTATTCTGATTTGCAGATGTTTTATAATCAGTTTCTTCCTTATTTTTTTGAGGTAAGAACGAAAACTTAAAAATATATTTATTGCCAATTTGATATTCAAAAGATTCAATTAAAACATTGTTTTTAGGCAGCGGCCATTCACCTTGAAATAGCGATCCTGGTATTACCAGCCGACGCATTACTATTTATTTGCCGACCTTTAAACTAGAATAGCCGGAAACTGTAATGTAATTGTGTACGAGTTTTGCAAAGAACAGGTTTAAAACAATGTTTCGCAAAATACAGCACGCTCCAATAGAGGCTGAATAAAAACTAATAGAAAATTAGAGAGACCAGTTTGTACTAACCATACTTGTTAGTGGCGTCATCTGTCCGTTAAAATTGGAAACCTGTATCTCGGTAATAACATTTCAATAGTCCTGTCAGAAATTATTTAACACCTATGCAGGCTACTATAACTAACCGGGCGCTTTGTCACGACGCTCACGGCGCCCCCAACTCTTGCTCATTATTGAGATGCGCTAGAGAAACTCAAGTTAATGCACGGATGACGCGAACCCGCTGAGTTTCTCGCCGGTCCTTCTCAGCGGGTCGCGATTTCGATCCGGTAGTAGATTCATTCGCGAAGCAGCTACTTTTGAGTTGATAGGTCTCATTTGGATGCGCTCCGGTAGCTGTTAGCAAATCCCACCCCTCCTGGCTGAGCCCTTGCTTGCCCACCTGCTCTGGTGAAACTATAGAGGCCCCCGGACTACCAATAATCCCTCAATCATAAAAAAATGATGACGGGAGACAGTAGTATAATCTCGTACAAGATCCACTGACAGCTTCCCTGGTGTTGATGCGCAAGTACTAAATTAACTGAAATTGGTGGCCCAAGTATTTAGCGACGCTTTTAAAGCTTCCCACAATATCGGGGCAGACAGATAATGAACGCCTCAATGACTTAAAATTTCATCGAAGTGCTAGAGTCATTATCGGCAGCTTATCACCTCCGTACCTAGTTGTCGTGACGGTTAAATTTTAAAGTCACATACGAGCCTTGTCAGATTTGCAGATTACAAAAAAGCAGCCGTAAATATTGATTCATCACAGCGATGTGTATGTATTGTGTACACAACGCAGTAATGTCGCGGTTGCACGTGTCGTGATCATTATCACAGTGGATTAGTGCGGTTCACTCCCAGGCCCAACTACGTCAGACTGATTATTCAAAATATGAATATGTACTGCACTAACAACGTAACAATGTTCAACATCCATTAATTTATTTTATAGGTAGGTAGTCTAGTTTTTGCTCCAATGTCGACATTCGATCATACACGCAGGCGCCTCGAGCGATTATGGTCTTTATTAAATTTGAAAAAATTATATGGCAAATTCATAAAACAATAAAACTCTACGCACTATGTATTGTAAGCGGAGCCTCTGGGTCTGCAGATGGACTTCGGTTCCCTCTGTATTTTGTACCGCATGTTCCATAGGGAGTGCTCTGAGGAATTGTTCGAGATGATACAAACGTCTCGTTTTTACCATCGCACCGCCCGCCACCGGAGTAGAGTTCATCCATACTACCTGGAGCCACTGCATCCATCCACAGTGCGCTTCCAGAGATCTTTTGTGCCACCTACCATCCGGCTTTGGAATGAGCTCTCCTCCACGGTGTTTCCCGAGCGCTATGACATGTCCTTCTTCAAACGAGGCCTGTGGAGAGTATTAAGCAGTAGGCAGCGGCTTGGCTCTGCTCCTGGCATTGCTGAAGTCCATGGGCGACGGTAACCACTTACCATCAGGTGGGCCGTACGCTCGTCTGCCTACAAAGGCAATAGAAAAAAAAGCGGATGCTCTGCCCTGGAGCTCTAACCACAACGGTTTAGAAATGCATAGAGGACCAAACATTGATAATAATATAAATAACTAGTCAGGTCACAAGTATTGTCACACAGTAAAAACTTTTCTTTTAGAATGCTGGCCACAAAAAAGTTTATTGAATTCGAATTTCGAATTGTTCATGAAAATAAAAATGTATACTTTTAGAATTTTACTCATTTTTAAATATGGAGTGGACGCTTAAAGAAGACCGTGTTGCAGTTATAGCGTTGCATCGTTGCGGTTACGCGCCAATTCAAATTTTTAACATACTGAAAAATTTGAATATAACCAAAAGATTCGTTTATCGTAACATCAAACGATACAATGAAGACTCTAGTGTAGATGACAGGTCAAGAAGTGGTCGCCCTCGGTCTGTTAGGACTCCAGCAGTGATAAAAGCTGTGAAGGCGCGAATTCAAAGAAATCCCAAACGTAAGCAGAAACTGTTGGCCCTTCAGATGGGGTTAAGCAGAACCACGGTGAAAAGGGTGTTAAATGAAGACTTAGGGCTTCGGGCATATCGAAGAAAAACAGGACATCGTTTGAATGCTCGTCTAATGGACCTGAGACTGAAGAGATGCCGCGCTTTGTTGAAGCGGTACGCGGGAAAAAAATATCGGGAAATTCTTTTTTCGGATGAAAAAATTTTTACCGTAGAAGAGAGCTACAACAAACAAAATGATAAGGTGTACGCACACAGTAGTGAAGAAGCGAGCAACCGTATTCCGCGTGTCCAACGAGGTCATTTTCCATCCTCGCTCATGGTATGGTTGGGAGTTTCTTATTGGGGCTTAACAGAGGTACATTTTTGTGAGAAAGGTGTAAAAACGAATGCAGTTGTGTATCAAAATACAGTCCTGACGAACCTTGTGGAACCTGTTTCTCATACCATGTTCAATAACAGGCACTGGGTATTCCAACAAGATTCGGCGCCAGCTCATAGAGCGAAGAGCACACAAGACTGGCTGGCGGCGCGTGAAATCGACTTCATCCGGCACGAAGACTGGCCCTCCTCCAGTCCAGATTTGAATCCGTTAGATTACAAGATATGGCAACACTTGGAGGAAAAGGCGTGCTCAAAGCCTCATCCCAATTTGGAGTCACTCAAGACATCCTTGATTAAGGCAGCCGCCGATATTGACATGGACCTCGTTCGTGCTGCGATAGACGACTGGCCGCGCAGATTGAAGGCCTGTATTCAAAATCACGGAGGTCATTTTGAATAAACTTTAGTGTCATAAGAATCTATGTTTTGTTAAGTTCATTTTGGTATATGAATGGTTACATAATGAATAAACTTGTTTCAATTATTTTACATTAAACATGTGACAGAATTTATGACCTGACTAGGTATATTGTACCACACATGTAATGTTTAGACCATATTCCAATCGAAGGCCGACGAGCCCAATCCCACTGTTAAGGGAGACAACAGACATCAAATGTCGCGAAAGTAGCAATAGAACACGCCGGGCACACGAGCGCTTCGCGGTAGAAACAGTGGTAGTAGCAACGTGCATGTGTGCCTACCCTGCACCGCCTGTGTCAACGTCAATCAACGCTTTTAGTAACGGAACTTTTTGGCGGGAACGCGAGGAGTGAAGTTGTGTCATTGGTTTTGTCTATTTAGTGTTTCTTCAGGTTTAAATGTGTAATAACGGTGGTTTATTAACTATTTAATGTCTGTGAAAGTGCACAAATGTGGGAAAATGAATAAAGCCGCAGGACGTAACTTCTCGGGATGCTCCAAAAAGTCCACTGAAAAAATCTCAGTAAATGACCACCATTTTACTGAGATTATATTGCATCCCATATCATCTCATCTCATTTCATTTAATTTCATCCCAGTTGATTAAGATCTCAAATTAATCATCTTCATTTCATTTCAAATATTATCATTTTTCATAAAAATAAGAATATAAATTAAAATAATACATGACTTAAAGGTCTTAGTTACCAAGTCATAATATCCCTTAAAAAAATATTTGTGACGGTTCCGCTAAAACTTGGTGGTCTGCATTGCAGTCTTGTTGTAATTGGTTCTTTGTATTTTTCAGACCCCGTCATGCAAGCGAGCCCGCCGCCGTGGAGCCCGTGGTGGCGCTCCCAGGCCCAGCTGCCGCGCGACTACTGGCACAAGCCCAGGCTCGGCATCTACACGTTGTCGAGGGACCTGCCGCTCAGACACGTCATGAGGTATCTGCACTAAATAAATCAATAAACTAACGTTTCCCACTTGGCGACTTCCACTGGGAGTATTTCTTCATTCGTTCCTCACAAAAAATACCTTTCACTAAAGTCTGACTGCGACGGGGAATAGAGATCGCGCAGTGGTTGCCTTAACTTTTAAAAATACTTGGCTATTTTTTATTATATACTAGCGACCCGCCCTCGCTTTGCTTCGGAAACATTAAATTTTATTATTGAATAGCCGAGTTTTATTATTGATAGTTGAGTCCCGTGATGTTACCCGCGGTTATTGTCGTACCGCGGGTGACGCCGCGAGGCGAAGCTAGTCTAAAAAAAGTTAGCCTAAGTTATTCCTTATATCATCAGTTACCTGTCAGTAAAAGTCCCGTCAAAATCGGTCCAGCCGTTCCAGAGATTAGCCGGAACAAACAGACAGACAGACAGACGAAAATTGTAAAAAATGTTATTTTGGTGTATGTACCATATATATTCACATGCATGTAGTAAAAAGCGGTTATTTCAATATTACAAAAAGACACTCCAATTTTATTTATATGTATAGAGTATAGATTAGAAAAAAGTTGTGCTATAATTAACAATTAAAAAGGTACAAACAAATGGTTTTTCCCTGACGTGACCACGACAACTAACTCCATTTCATTTAGGGCCTAAAGAACTGACAACGGACTGACGAAATTGTACTATACATACTATATATACTATATACTACACGCTGTGGTGTAATGTTCTCAATAAAATATCACAGAAAACTTTATAATTTTTAATTGTCCTTAATAGCCTTACGGGTGAGAAGTTTGGCGAGTCTCCTATTAAGTGTTCAGGGTGGTAACAAATACATAATTTTCGCAATAAAAGTAGAGTCGCTACTTAACACTCATTCACAAAAGACTGACGAACAAATCAGCGGTGATGCGGACTGTGGGCGGTCACGAACTGTGTGCTTAGTGCGAGTTTTTTAACGTTCTCTATAGCGTAAAAGTTAACTCATATTTGTATGGAATGGGATTGTTTGCCTACGTTTGCCGCTTACTGGTGGTAGGACCTCTTGAGAGTCCGGCGAGTAGGTACCACCACCCTGCTTATTTCTGCCGTGAAGCCGTAATGCGTTTCGGTTTGAGGGTGGGGCAGCCGTTGTAGCTATACCTGAGACCTTAGAACTTATGTCTCAAGGTGGGTGGCGCATTTACGTTGTAGATGGCTATGGGCTCCAGTAACCACCTAACACCAGGTGGGCTGTGAGCTCGTCCACCCATCTAAGCAATTAAAAAAAAAAAGGGGCGCTGTTCCAACTGCATACAAAATTGGGTTAACTTTTACGCTATCGTGAACGTTAAGAAACTCGCACTAAGCACACTGGTAGCACCATTCTATTTGTCGCTAATGAGTCATGCGTTTCGCTTTCAAGTATTTCAAGTCGGTGATACTCTATAACTGAGATTTCAACCTCACGTCTCAAGGTCGTGCGCTCGGTCAGCACTAGATAGATCCTGACGCTGAGTTCGGTTGTCTATTTTCTTTTTTTTTATTGCATTGAATAGTGACCGAGCTTACAGACCACTTGGGGCTGGATTGTTGTCAGCACCCCTAGCACATCATAACTTGAGTGTTGTTGTCCCACTCGAACTCGAGATACAAAGTTGATGTCTCACTTGTATCATGTATCGACCGTCCAAATTCTTCAATCGGGTGTGGTAACTCCGAGGATTAAGCAAGTGGCGTTACACACCAGTGCTGGCTTATAACACGACCTACAATCAGTAGCTACGGTAGTATATGATGGTATGCTACTTCATGGAAATCGTTCGTGGTCAATAGAAATAAATAATAGTTTAAAAAAACTAAAAAACACGCTTTAGGTAGGTATATAAAATTCAACAAAAAAATTCAAAATAAATTGAAATTGAAAATATTGAAAAAAAAAAAATTTTTTTTATTGTAGAAATAAGCGTGGGGTGTATGGTGTTATTAGTTATATTTATGGTGTTATTATATTTTTGACAGATATGAGTAGAAGAATTATTATTTCAATAATATTTTAAAAAGCACCCCACGCTTCTTTAAAATAAAAAAAATATTTTTTACATTATTTTCAATTTAAATTTATTAAAATTTATTTTCTATTTTTAGTTGAATTTTATTGTTTCCAAATTTTTTTTTTTTTTTTTGTATTGTTTTGTCATTGGTCCTCGATAAATCTACAAAGTTTGAATGAAATCTGGCCGTTTAAAGTGGATCAAAATCGCTTCTAAAGGAGTCAGTTACGAACATACAAACATACATACAAGTGAAGCTAATATAAAGCGCCGGCACAGTTGCGTTCTCTTTTAAGCCACGACGCTTACAAACTACGTAAGTATACTTAGTCTGGCCATAAATACTGTTACAATTAAAAATAAACAAAATATTACATTTGAATTTGGAATCTGTCATTTTTATATGATTGCTTATTGAGTTTTCTCATTTTGGCGCCAATACGTTATACAATATTTTGCGATATTAAAATGGAGTGGGGTGATAAAGAGAACCGAATCGCTGTGATTGCATTACACAAAATAGTTATGGAGCCAAATGCAATTTTTAAAACTCTCCATACGCTTGGTATTAGTAAAATGTTTGTATACCGGGCTATTAATAGGTGCAATAAGACCTCCTCTGTTTGTGACAGAAAAAGATCTGGCCGTCCACGTAGTGTTGGTACGAAAAAGGTATTCAGTAAGAGAAAGAATTCGAATAAATCCTGTTCGAAAGCAAAAGATTTTATCTCGGGAGATGAAGATAGCACCTAGAACCATGTCGCGTATTTTAAAAGATGATTTAGGACTTGCAGCCTATAAGAGACGTACTGGTCATTTCTTAACTGATAATTTAAAAGAGAATAGGGTGGTAAAATCGAAACAACTACTGAAGCGGTACGCAAAGGGAGGTCATAGAAAAATTTTGTTTACGGATGAGTAAATTTTTACAATTGAGCAACATTTTAACAAACAAAATGACCGTATTTATGCTCAAAGCTCTAAGGAAGCTTCCCAATTAGTCGACAGAGTGCAACGTGGACACTACCCGACTTCAGTGATGGTTTGGTGGGGTATTAGCTATGAAGGAGTGACTGGGCCATAATTTGTGAAAAAGGTATCAAAACATCGGCACAAGTGTATCAAAATACCATTCTTGATTAGGTTGTGAAGCCCCTTAACAACACCATGTTCAATAATCAAGAATGGTCCTTCCAGCAAGACTCGACACCAGGTCATAAAGCTCGGTCTACGCAGTCTTGGTTGGAATAGAACGTTTCGGACTTCATCAGAGCTGAAGACTGGCCGTTGTCTAGTCCCGATCTTAATCCGCTGGATTATGATTTATGGTCAATTTTAGAGAGTACGGCTTGCTCTAAACGCCATGATAATTTGGAGTCCCTAAAACAATCCGTACGATTGGCGGTGAAAATTTTTCCCATGGAAAGAGTGCGTGCTTCTATTGATAACTGGCCTCAACGTTTAAAGGACTGTATTGCCGCCAATGGAGACCACTTCGAATAAGCTTTTTATACTTTAAATTGTTTTATAGTTATGTATTAAAATAAAACACTCTAAAAGTAATAAATGTTATTTGTAATAGATATTTTGTTTATTTTTAATTGTAACAGTATTTATGGCCAGACTAAGTATGGGATGCAGGTGGGAAGCGATGGCGACCCCCTGTGGCTTGATACCGTTACTGTCAGCTCTGCAATCACAACTGCAATCTGAATACATCGCGTCTGTCGGGCGCGCGGCTATCTGGGCTGTCAATATCTGTCCTCGTCCGTCCGATAACAAATCAATCTTTTGATATAAAAACAAGGGAATATTCACGATATACTGTGACACAGATCGAGACGCCGCGCCGGGCTTGTCACGCACGTGCCAGTATCAATCATATTACGAAATTACTAGAAAACATAACATAACAGTTTATCATCTTAGTCGTATTTTGAATAAATAACGAAAAATAAATTTCTTTCTCACCTATTCATTATAGTGCTTATCTTTAAGAATATGTAGACTCTTTAATTAAGTCGGGTGCTTATCAGTGTCCAAGTGACTTAACATTGTTATGGGCAATGTCATCGACGGACGGATTCAAAAACTTTTTGTGATAGGAAGTGTAGTATGTCATTGAGCGGTACCACGATGGTAGCTGGTGGTCACTAGTGCGAGGTGTGTTTTGCTTAGAATAAATACGATCGTCGGTCGTTTGAGTGTAAATTATTATAAAGCAACGTATGGAAAAATGAAAATTGACTCGTTGGAATACAGGTGAGTTTTGTGTTGTTCTAGTGGTTAATAACTGCAACCACAACAGAGGTACGGTTTGGAATCCCGGTGGAACACAATGCATTTCTAAAAATTCGAGCTCGGAGTGTATATATATATTTTCTTGTCTCATATGTGTTGGAAGACGTAGCGTGGGTAGGCCTCCCACAAGATGAGCCGACGACCTATTGAGATTCGCGGGAATCCGCTGGATGCAGGCAGCGCAAGACCGGTCTTTGTGGCGAAGCTTGGGGGAGGCCTATGTCCAGCAGTGGACGTCCATGGGCTGATAGAATAGAAATGTGTTCCAGTGCACAAAGCTGAATTCTATGTATTAAATAAGAGTAGCAGCTGTGGGCCTTACGTGGACCGGCTGGCAGACAGAGAGAGGCACTACGGTGTCATTGACCTGTGTCTGTAAGATATGTCATAGCTTCTCAGTATTAAGCTATGTAGAACTGCTGCCCAGCGATTCCAAGGTGTGCTTAGGCTGGCGCCGTCGTTAACCCTAATCTTCAATTTTACACTTTACATGTTTGAAGTACTCCCACTCAACGAGTGCGTGCGCCAAGCCTCAGTTCGCAAACATATGACCACGACTGCTCTGCCAAGAACAACCGACTTTTTTTTCCTACCTATGCTGATAGCCTTGAGAGGCTATTTCAGCTTTACCCTAACGTGTGGGTGAGCTCACGGGGCTCTAACCTGAGTGTTGCTGACACTGGCTCTAGCAAGAACAGTGCTTCGCAGAATCTACTACCGGATCGGAAACGCGACCCACTGAGAAGATCCGGCGAGAAACTCAGTGGGCTGTGTCTGTGGGTTAATTCGCTCGTCGAGCCCTTCGTCGCAAGCGATGGGTTCGACGAGGACGGTGACCGGTGCTTGAGGTACCTAAAAGCACCGTTAGTGGATCGGGAGGATCCGTAATGACGTGTTTTGGGCGACGTCGACTGTTTACCATTCGCTCTACAGGATCGGGTATGAACCGACTATGATGATGTCTGAAGTCCTCTCATATTTATCTCGGTAACGAGCCGGTGATGTCCGCGCTGGGAAATATACACTCAGATATAACAATTTATCCTTTCACGTTATATACGACTACTTAGAAATAATACACATGCCCAATCTTGATCAATCATTTATACTATCGGTGAACATTCCTAGCCGAATAGTTCGTGAACGTGCTTACGTATACGACATTGTAAAAAGCCGTTTATTTATTCGATTTTATTCAATGAATACGGATCTTTTTAATGCGGAGAACGTGCGACACGCTGTTGAGACTTGGCGTCTATTATTTAATATCCACTAACCAGAAAAAATGGTTGACTGTAAAGTCGGTTTGCGGACGACAGTTTTACGTAATACTAACGTCATTAAGAATCATTTTTCATTGAATCAAATTTCGAGTTAATCCGACGTTTTGAAGGGGTGTCAAAATCATGTTCAAAGATTCCGTTACAAACATACATACGTATGAAGCTAATAAAAGCGTATTAAAATTGCATACTTTTATGAATTATCTGAATTATCATTATTTTGTATAATACAAAGAATGCGTTAATTGAAAATTACTTACTTTAACTACTTACTCAATTTTATAATAATTTTAAAATATTATTATTAAATCGCACTCTCGCTCGCACGCTCGGACTCAAACGGAACGTGACACTTTTTCGTGCGTGCAGCCGCTGCTCATCGATTTAAAAGATGTTAACGCCTCAATAAAAATTATCTCCGTATTCACTTTGGCGAAACATCTGCAAATTTCGTTCGTCCTATCCTAAGAAAACGATAAACAGTTTGCGACAAATTTCACGAGTCATCTGAACAATTGCAAAAGCAAGTAGCGCGCATGAAGACAGACCCATAATTCCTTAATTCGTGCAAAACCAACTGACATCGCGCGGAGAATAGGCGAGCACCGAACCGGCTGATAACATACTCGTATTCGTTCCCATTCACCTGTGCTCCGCGAGTATCTAAACGAGGCATTATCTATCTATATATTAATGCGTGAAGAAATAACTTTGTATCCCTTTTTACGAAAATTGCGCGGACGGAGGACCATGAAATTTCTCACACTTATAGAAAATTTAGAGAAGGAGTGCAGTATGTTAATATTTTTTTAAACTATGCCTAAAAAATACATTAAATGAATAAAAAAAACATTACACACACTACCATGTATTTGACGCACACACGCGTGCATACTATTTGTTTATTGTCAAACTTTTCTTATTGTTTAAAGTCTGTGGTCAAATTGTGAATAGATTAAATATTGCTTGTCTTTATTAATATTTGTCTAAAGTGTAGTCTTGGCGAAAGCTGTGATTAAAAAGCTGTAATAAATAGCTAGTCTTTGACAATAGAAACATAAACACTACATAGTATAAAACAAAGTCGCTTTCTCTGTCCTTATATCTCTCTGTCCTCATGTATGCTTAAATCTTTAAAACTACGCGACGGATTTTGATGCGGTTTTTTTTAATAGATAGAGTGATTGAAGAGGAAGGTTTATATGTATAATGACATCCATTAGATAGTGGAGAAATAAATAATAAATTACAGTTTCCGAAGCGAAGCGAGGGCGGGTCGCTAGTATTGTACAAACTTATAATTTCTATTAATTATAGTCGAATTTCGACTACCGGGGCCACTAGTATTAAAGAATCCACCACAAAGTCATGACCGCCCTCGGGTCTAACTTTACCTTTGCTTACGTAACACAGGCTGGAAGGTGTGGGCCCCATCATCCCGACACCGGCGACGTCCAACTGGATGCTGCGGTACCGGCCGCTCGACTCCGAGCCGTGGAGGCTCCCTATACCGATACCCTCAGACTTGGAAGTAAGTTTGTCTTTGACCAGATCATTTTTAATACCAATGTACTACACACCGTCAAATTTATAAATCACTAGCGACCCGCCCTCGCTTCGCTTCGGAAACATGAAAACACACATGAAACCAAAAAAATAAAATAATTTTTTTAAAAAAAAAAGTAGCCTATGTTCATCAGGGACAATGTCGGCTTCTAATGGAAAAAGAATTTTTCAAATCGGTCCAGTAGTTTCGGAGCCTATTCGAAACAAACAAACAAACAAACAAATCTTTCCTCTTTATAATATTAGTATAGACTAGTGGACCGCTCCGGCTCCGCTCGGGTCTTTAACAAAAATTTCAACGATATATGACGTTGTTTTAGTTTTTTAAATAAAAGTACACTTATTAAGGCATAACTACAATAGTTAAACATATGCTGTCGCGATACTTTTTGTAAATAATAATGTTGTTCTACAAAGTCGTAGTACATTATTTTATTCTATTATAAATAGTGTTCGCAGGGCACGCAATGTAAATAATATTATGGGTAATTTTTTTACACCTTGGGTTACGTTATTGGAGTTTTAAGGATCCTTAATTTTTTTCAAAAAAGATTATGGTCTATGTCACTCGGGAATAGTGTAGCTTCCAAACAGTGAAATAATTTTTCAAATCGGTTCAGTAGTTTCGGAGCCTATTCAATACAAACAAACAAACAAATCTTTCCTCTTTATAATATTAGTATAGATTACGCGCCTTTTTCAAAGGTAGGGCTTGGCGAAATCACAGTGCCACCCCCCTCCATACAGCATGAGAGTCGGATCTCAATATAATGTCGCTCGTGGCTATTCAATAGAGCCCGGGGGGAGCAGAGCTTTAAATGACAAGGGGTGACGGATGTTATACATTACTAGCCGACCCGGCAGACTTCGTAGTGCCTCAATCGATAAATAAGAGACCTAAACTTTTGTATAAAATAAACTTAAAACAAACAAAAGGTATCCGTCCGACGGGGTGGGTACACATCAAAGGAAAAGCCAAAATTTTTATTTTTATTTAATTCCGAGCATTTTCATATTTATCTACATTTTAAACCTTCTCTGGACTTCCACGAATAATTCAAGACCAAAATTAGCCAAATCGGTTCAGCCGTTCTCGAGTTTTAGCGAGACTAACGAACAGCAATTCATTTTTATATATATATAGATATATTATACATTATAAATCTGTAACTATACGTCTCTTTGTCACAGCAATTCCGAGTGGAGACGGTGACGGGGCGGGCGCCGCGCACGCACAGCCCCAGCTCGGAGTGGTGGGGGGGCGGCGGGGCGGCGGGCGCGGGGGGCGGCGGGGGCGCGGCGCTGGGCTGGGCGGCCGGCGTCGTGCTGCTCGCGTTGCTGGTGCTGCTGGTGCGAGCCATGGAGAAGTGTCTCGATAAACGGCTCTTTAAGAGTGAGTATCACTTCGTTATAAGTAATATTCGTTATAATAATGTTTTACTGGTGGTAGGACTTCTTGTGAGTTCGCACGGGTTATTATTTATAAAAACTGTCGCGACAGCATGTGTCTTATAGTTATGCCGTAATGTTATTCTTTTATTTAAAAAAATGTGAGCCGTCACGGGGCGCCTGGCAGATGTGAACATCGACATTATTTTGTAAAAGTAATATGCAGAAAAGAACAGATTGTGATAGGAACTAAATATGTCATAATGATAAAATAAAATATTACGAAAAAATAATTTGTTTTCAAGTAAAACACAGGTTATGTGTACTGTAGTAAACAACACTGTATACACTACTATAGGTATCCGAGCTCAGTGTAGCGAGAAAGAAGGCTTAACGCCGGATCGAGTGGGACAGTCGATTGTGCGTGGCGACACGTCGCCACGGCATGATTCACATGAAAAACTAAAACAACGTCAAATATCGTTGAAATTTTTTTTAAAGACCCGTGCGGAGCCGGAGCGGGCCGCTAGTAATTAATAATTAGATTGAGATTATCAATCAAATGTTATCATGTTTACGGAATTCACATTTACGTACGTGGATCAAGGGACTAAGTTTGGGTGGCGGGACGCCTTTTTTTTATTACTTAGTTGGATGGACGAGCTCACAGCCCACCTGGTGTTAAGTGGTTACTGCAGCCCATAGATATTTACAACGTAAATTCGCCACCCAACTTGAAATATAAGTTCTAAACTCTCAAGTATGGTTACAGCGGCTGCCCCATCATTCAAACCGAAACGCATTACTGCTTCACGGCAGAAATAGGCGGGGCTGACTGCACACGCGCTCGCGGCGATGTCCTGCCAATGTTTTACGGAAGCCGTGCTCGATAAGGAGAAGCCTGATGTCCGAGATATTCAATTCAATTGGGACACGCATCTCTTATCCTTTTTTTTATTGCATAGATGTGTAGACGAGCTCACAGCTCACCTGGTGTTGTGGTTATCGGAGCCCATAGACATGTACAACGTAAATGTTACCAGCCACATTGAGATGTGAGTTCTAAGGCCTCAGTATACTTGCAACGGCTGCCCCACCCTACAAACCGAAACACATTACTGCTTCACGGCAGAAATAGGCAGTAGGTGGTACCTACCCGTGCGGACTCACAAAAAGTCCTACCACCATTAATTACGCAAATTACAATTTTGCGGGTTTGATTTTTATTACACGATGTTATTCCTTCACCGTGGAAGTCAATCGTGAACATTTGTTGAGTACGTATTTCATTAAAAAAATTGGTACCCGCCTGCGGGATTCGAACATCGGTGCATTGTTAGATACGAATGCACCGGACGTCGTATCCTTTAGGCCACGACGAGTTCAGTGAACACAAAAACAATCTTCTTCTTCTTGCCCTTATCCCACACAATATGGGGTCGGCGCAACATGTCTATCTTGAAAGAAAAAATTTTTTTTTTTTTTTCAAAATATACCCTCCCTCTTTAGGTATTGCACAATCAACAAAATAACAAATATACTAAGTACGTCATAGTAATTAAGTACAAATCCGCTCCAAAAATCAATCAAATAGATCTTAACTATAAAAATGACGAACGTTTCTCGATCACTGTCAAGGACATGACAACAACAACGATAGCCATAAAGATGCGGTATTCTGATTTTATAAGATACATGAAGATTGAAAATCTTGTGGTGGGGATTAACAACACAGAGGACTCAAGAAAGTGTCGTGTCGTGTCGTGTCGTGTCGTGTCGTGTCGTGTTATTCCTGGAAGGTCAATAATTTAATAGACTAAATAGAACCGCGACTACAACTGTTTTAATTGGATTATTTGTATAGCGGTAGAGCGCACTAATTTAAGAAGTGTGAAAATTTGATAAATTCAATGTTTTAAATTCATAAAAGTGTGGTTTTTTTTTCTATTATATGCTGTCAGCTATTTCGCTTTGTCGTTTGTGCCTACAATGCAGGTGACATTTGTCATGTATACTCCATCTTAGTGTATATTTAAACTCTGAATTGTCGTTCTGAATTACCTTGTTACTACAACCAATTCAATAAATTAAGGAATAAAATGATTGAGCTTTGGTTTCGTGGCTCCGTAAGGATACATTATACCACGCTGTCGCAAATAGAACAGTAGTTGCTTGAAGGGTAGGGAAACCACTCTCGCAGTCAAGCGTGACGTAGACGCTAGACTCCAGGGGTGAGGCCGTGTAAATGTGTCGCAGTCCGCTGGTAGATGAGCAAACAGCTAACCTGAACCCCCGGTATTATTAGCATCGTAAACTTTTTATTGACGTTATTTACACCCCTGCTGTGTATTAATTACAGAAGAACCGAATATGTAGTACACAAGTACGCGTCCCCAATCTTGCAACCTCTTGCATGATACCGTCCGCGTTGGATGTTACTTCTAACACAGATCACTATGATTTAAAGTAATGCGTTGGTCTTTCTTGAATAGCTGTCGAAACTAGACGGACTTACGGTAAATAGATACTGGCGCTCAGATAAAGCACTTAGCTCAGTGACATTTAGCGCACATCCCAGTATTGGGAGCACTTTGGACGAGGCGTACGATATTATGTTCGATCTTCATGCGTGCGCTTAACACGCCAAGCCGGCGGGCGCGGTTACTGTTATTTCGCCGATCGCGATGGACGCTTACAATGAACCTTTTTTTTGTTTTTCCTACCTATGCTGATAGCCTTGAGAGGCTATTTCAGCTTCACCCTAACGTGTGTAGGTGAGCTCACGGGGCTCAAACCGGAGTGTTGCTAACACCGGCCCTAGCAAGAGCAGTGCTTCGCAGAATCTAGCACCGGATCGGAAATGCGTTGGGAAAGTCATCGCACACCGCGGGATAGACATCTGGTTACCGTAACCCATAGACACAACGTTGTGGATGCCGTCATGTGCCTTGTGACAGGAGACTGCTCCGCACCACGGACAGGCAGGGAGATGGTACCTTTTTTTTTTTTTATTGCCCTTGTAGGCAGACGAGCATACGGCCCACCTGATGGTGAGTGGTTACCGTCGCCCATGGACTTCAGCAATGCCAGGGGCAGAGCCAAGCCGCTGCCTACCTACTCGTGCGAATTTACAATACGGCTCATTACTAATGAAATGAAAGAAACTAATAATTAAAGATTAGAAATAAATCATTAAAGAAACATTTTTTTAGCAAAATCTGTTTCGGTTATTGTTAATGAATGTCCGCCATTCAAAGTGCCATGCGACATTACAACTGACAGTCGACGTCGCCCAAAACATGTCATTACGGATCCATTAACGGTGCTTTTAGGTACCACAAGCACCGGTCACCGTCCTCATGGAATCCGTCGCTTGCGACGAAGGGCTCGACGAGCGAATTAACCCACAGACACAGCCCACTGAGTTTCTCGCCGGATCTTCTCAGTGGGTCGCGTGTCCGATCCGGTGGTAGATTCTGCGAAGCACTGCTCTTGTTAGGGTCAGTGTTAGCATCACTCCGTTTTGAGCCCCGTGAGCTCACCTACTAGTTAAGGTTACGCTGAAATAGCCTCTCAAGGCTATCAGCTTAGGTAGGAAAAAAAAAGATTGACTTCCACGGTGAAGAAATAACATCGTGTAATAAAAATAAAATCAGCAAAATTATAATTTGTGTAATTAATGGTAGTAGGACATCTTGTGAGTGCGCACGGGTAGGTACCACCACACCGTCTATTTCGGCCGTGAAGCAGTAATGCGTTTCGGTTTGAAGGGCGGGGCAGCCGGTGTAACTATACTTGAGACCTTAGAACTTATATCTCAAGGTGAGTAGCGCATTTACGTCGTAAATGTCTACGGGCTCCAGTAACCACTTAACATTAGGTGGGCTGTGAGCTTGTCCACCCATCAAAGCAATAAAAAATATAATGATATTAACGTAGCATTTGCTTGTTCCAGTGCAAACAGACAGACAAGAGTCGGACGAGTGGCCGGCGCCGACCGTGCGCGCCACCAACAGTGAGTCACTCGCGTGCTCCCTCCACACACACTCCGCACAAACCTGTACTCCTGTACTCGCGATATGGTGCACACGAATCGTTCAGCTCATAGATACCGTATAACGAAACCCTAGTTTTCGATAGGCAGCGGCTTGGCTCTGCCCCTGGCATTGCTGAAGTCCGTGGGCGACGGTAACCACACACCATCAGGTGGGCCGTGCGCTCGTCTGCCTACAAGGGCAATAAAAAAAAATTGCCTTAACTTTCTCGGACGGTTGGCTATCTAGTTCGACCGGGACGTGTTATTGAAACCCGGCGTTTGTATGCAAGCCTGGAAACATGCTCTATCACTGAAAGTAGACATCAGTGTGCTCAGTGCGAGTTTTTTAACGTTCTCGATAACGTAAAAGTTAACTCATATTGGTATGGAATGGGATTGTTTGCGTACGTTTGCCGCTAGGGGCGCTGTTCCAACTGCATACAAAATCGAGTTAACTTTGACGCTATCGAGAACTTTAAGAAACTCGCACTAAGCACACTGATAACACCCGTACCGTATTCGAGACTTGAGAGGCGTTTATTTTAAATTTAAATTCCTTTATGTTAAATTCCATTGACGAGTCGACGAGCTTACGGTCCAATTCTATTAAGTGGTTACCGGATTCCACACCCAGCGCAATTAGACCCGCCACCCACCTCAAGACATGAGGTTGAAGTCTCAGTTGTGTAGTATACCAGTTGTCTCAAATCTTTCTGCATGGTTACTTCGTGGCACAAACAGGGTGGTGGTGCCACAAGTTGGTAACACAATTCGCCCTATTGAGCACTGTTTTTTTTAAATAAAATTATTTTTAGTAAGAAAATAATATAATAAACCTTATTAATATTTCATTAACGGCTGTCTGGTGTAGTGGTAAGTGACATGGTCACTACACAAGGGGGTCGCGGGTTCGAATCCGGCCAAGGGAGGATATTTGTATGATAGATATAAATGTCTTTTCCAGGGTTATGGATGTATATTAAATATATGTATGTGTATAATAAAAATTTTACATTTATTTCCGTTATCTTGTAATTGTAACACAAGTTCTTTATGAAGTTAGCACGGGACCAGTTAACGTGGCGTGATTATTAGTAAATATTTATTATTATTTTATTATTTATTAACAGATCAAGAATGTCGCCCCGCAGACGTAGCGGCCGCGGGACCCAACGGAGAAGCATACATTGGAGCCGGCGCGACCAGCGACCTCCCCCCTCCTTACTCGGAGTGCGCCAACTCGACCACGACTGTTGGACCCAAGCCCGGCGAGGACCCTCCCCCTCCATACTCCACCTGCTACTTCAGTAATAACCCGAAGGACGAACCATCAGTCCACTTCATCAATATACAAAACAGATCTGACACAAACCGGTCTGATGTCCAAAGCGGCCCCGCTACGGACATCAACACTGCAGCGGAAACAGTTCGCGTTGAGATTGAGAATGAAATACCGCGGGATAGAACAATAGTGGTATAATATGTTTCGGTAATAGCTAGTATCCGTACTAGATATTAAACATACCTGATATGGTCGTATCGAGATCATGAATTAGTTGATTTTATTCAACTAGTATTGAACAGGGATGATCTCTACGTAGTAAACTATTCGTTTTTAACGTTAGTTAAAGCGTTACGGTCTTAAAAATATTAACTCGAAGAGCGTTTCAACTGTTCTTGTTGAGCTTGTAACTATACAGCCGTTGTAACTATACTGAGACCTTAGAACTTATATCTCAAGGTGGGTGGCGCATTTACGTTGTAGATGTCTATGGGCTCCAGTAACCACTTAACACCAGGCGGGCTGTGAGCTCGTCCACACATCTGAGCAATAAAAAAAAAGCTTGTAATGTGGGGTTCGTATTCGAGTGTGGTAATACACAGACGGATAGATGTCGCTACATTGTGGATTAGTCGTGTTGTTTCAGCACGCATTCGTCACAACTCGCTCTTAAACAACTGAGTACAATCAACTATCAGGAAATGAGAGATTAAATCTTATTATTTTGACGACATGTTCTGTTTATATCTCGAATTCGGCAATAATTATATTCTTAATGAAGCTAAGAGTACAATATTAAGATTGATGGAAAACTTTGAACTTGAGACGTGAAAATGATGGGAATCACTGGTCATTCAAGTTACTCATCTTCGATATTATTTCTAAGTTTAATATAAGTTATAGCATGTGATAGTTATTAACAAAATCTTTTAATATTAGTGTTCACTAAGCCAAAGAATTTAGTTGTTATAGTCGGTAGTTTAAAATTTACATTCCTTAGAATTATTATTTCAGTCTTTGTCTCAGTACGATGGGTCGGTGTAACATAATATTCTCCTTTCCATTAAGGTTTATCATACGTCATCTCCGCACTCACACGCCTCTGTCACAGAATCATTTCTGAGTGCGCCCCTTCTATTCATTCCATATAGTCACTGACCGTTATTACAACTGATACAGTTTCACTACCCAGGACAACAGAGGTCAGTGTAGTTAGTCGATCAGTTCTTGTGTTCCTGCGAGTCACAACTTTAAACTAAAGGCTTTAAGGTTTTAATTGCGTGAAAAGTTAAATCCATACGTACACCTTGTCACTATTATTTATGTAAATTCATAAATATTTTGATTTTTATTCGTTCATGGTGGAAGTCGTTCGTGAACATAATATACGAAATAAGTATTTTCTTAGAAAAATTGATACTGACACGCCTGCGAGATTTGACTCTGGCAATTTTTCCTCGCATCGCCACGACAGTTTCCAATACGAGATTAAACCATCTACAAATGTATTTATTGAATTTTAATCATTCAACAAATAGTTATAGTTAAATAATTAGCACACGTAAGAGAGATCACGATTATGAAAGTGGGTGGTTTATGATTTTTTTAATTATATGAGTGAACGAACCCAACTCCTATTAGGTGGTTGCCAGAGTCATTAACCACCTATCACTAACATTGACACGCACATAATAATTAAAATTAAATTATGGAATATGAGGGAGCTTGGAAGTACATTACGTCACTAGTTTCATAATGTGTTAATTTAAACATATAATTACTTTTATTAGCTGATTCACTATGGAGAAATGAATTCTATAATCATCGATCTATAATCTTAAATTGATGGAAGTTGACAAACAGGATTAGGAGTTATGGGTATAATTAATTGTATTTTAAGTACTTTTTTTTTAAATCTAGAAGTCCTTAGTTAAAATGGTCGCGTAAGGTGATCGTTCCGTGAACTAAACACCGGTGGTCTCCCTCCTGTACACAACCGAGTTCTCAAGTATATTTTTTAATTAACTAAGCACGCTGCACATTTTAAAAGTAATATTGTTAAAGACTACAATATTATTCTTTAAACTGTCCTATCGAACACGCCTTACGGGTACATATGTACTATAACTAGCGACCCGCCCTCGCTTCGCTTCGGAAACTGTCATTTATTATTGATTTCTCCACTATTTAATGGATGTTATTATACATATGAACCTTCCTCTTCCGTCACTCTAAAAAAAACGCATCAAAATCCGTTGCGTACTTTTAAAGATTTAAGCATACATAGGAATAGAGAAAGCGACTTTGTTTTATACTATGTAGTGAAGGTGGCTTCATAACAATATCCACGGAACGATGTCGCGTGGTGCCGCTCGATGGATGGGCGTCGATATTGTAGTGTAGATGTATGGTAGGAGCAATCGATAGTTTTATAGTAAACACGAAACATACCTTCAATAAAAATTTCTTTTACAAATTTAATGAGTTTTCTTTGTTATAAACCTTTTTAACAGAAATATATTCGACGGACAGGATTTTCGAAGTATTTCAAATAAACCAGAGGGTAAATTAACAGACTAAGGTATAATTTGTTATAAAGCGATTTAATAAACAACAAAAAATATATACCTGAAGAACTGTACTATACCTAAAGTTTTAAAATTACAACTATAAATGCATTCTTAGCTATAAATACTAAAAAAAGTATTATTAACATTATAATATTGCAATCGAAAGCAATTTTAAATTTTTATTTTTATTTAAATAATGAGTAGTTTAAATAAAATTATAATTACTAAGGTACATCCTATGCTACTTCTACAGGAGATCTAACTACCGCATTAAAAATATTTGGTGAAAACATCTAACAATATACAAATTATAGCCCAGTCTTAGTAGTCACAACTCCTGAATAATACCTCCTTATAAATAATACATATCTACTTAGTGACAAGTTTCCAAAACTTGGCTGTACTTAGGTCCTTAGATTCAAGGAACAGCTATTATCAAATTTAATAAAATATGAATCCTGTCGAAATAAGTAAATAAATAACAAAATGTTCACAAAAGTTATATGTTATATCAATTTATAAAATCAAAAAAGGATGAACAACTATCTTTGTGATTATTAGGACTAACTCCTATGGCAATATTGTTTTAATTTATTATCTGTCTATCTTGATGACATGATAGTAGAGTGACGTATTGACGTAACACAATTAGATGATTAGGCTGTTGTTATCACAAGATGGTGTCACTCTACTTATATTTTAATTCTAATAATCTTCAGTAGTTACACTTTGCAAAATGTAGCAATATCATCAAACACTTTGAATTATTACAACCATGGCGTTTTATTTTATTCGGTTTCCTTAATGCCTGTGCTTGTCCTTAATGTCACATTAAGTAACATGATTTAATGGCGGCACGAGTATAAATTTTCAGTAGACAATTGTAGCTGTGACTGCTGCACAAGTAGGCAGTCAGGTTTACAACGACCGAATTGAATATGCCTTTTAACCTCTAAATGTTTGAACTCATTAAGAAGTTCATCTAGGGAATCAAATTGACCTGAATTACAACTCGTTGTTCTGACGGCGCCGGACATACCTCGCGAAATAGTCGGGCCTCCAACACTTGCAGGAGCCGGGAACCAGGAACCAGTCGTAGTAGAGCCTCACCTGAACGGGAGGTGGGAACTAATGTAATGTTATGTTATCATGTATTACTGGTGGTAGGACCTCTTGTGAGTCTGCGCGGGTAGATACCACCACGCCGCCTATTTCTGTCGCGAAGCAGTAATGCGATTTGGCTTGAAAGGTGCAGCCGTTGTAACTATACTTGAGACCTTTGAACTTATATCTCAAGGTGGGTGGCGCATTTACGTCGTAGATGTCTATGGGCTCCAGTAGTAACCACTTAACGCCAGGTGGACTGTGAGCTCGTCCACCCATCTAAGCAATAAAAAAAAGTTTGAATACCTGGAAGCAGCCCATGTCGTCGTGTCCGTCGCAGTGCGGTGGCTTCTCGGTGCTGGGCTCGGCCGCGTACTGCGAGTACTCCGGCTGGAAATTATTGAGTTTCAGATCACGGAAACTACCAGACTTCAAAATTATCAGATCTCACATTCAACATACGTTTATCACTCAGTCACACCGTACCTGAGGAGTCTGAAGCTCTGTGGGATAGTGTAACTCAGCGACGAGCAGGGAGACCCAGCGAGGGGAGCTCAGACATCCACCTTCTAAATAATGACAACGGGACTGCATGCACCTGAAGATGAAAAAGTTAAAGGTGAAATTAAGGGATATTCAATTCTCATGTGAGTCATACAAGAGCTCGTAGATTCAAAACTCTACGCCTATCGTTGTTTTAGCGAAATGTTCAGCTGTTGTCGTTGTTGCCAGAGCGAGCGACGGTCGCATCAAGTTGTAAGCTAATAAACATAAGCACGTGCTGAACTGTGTCGAGTGGCTGGCGAAGTACCTGGTGAGCTCGACGGTCTGCGTGAAGTACCCCTCGTAGGGTATCTGCACGACGTAGCGCCAGACGCCCTGGTAGTTCCGCGCGAACACTGGAGTGGCGTACTCCACGCGCGCCGGGCACGGCGTGGGCGGACCCTGCACACACCGCGGTCCAGGCTCTCACTATGTTACGGCATACGGTATACAGATTATAATTAAATCAGTCACAAAACCATACCTCATATCGATGATGCTGTGCTGGTACTCCCGGATCCTCACGTCTCTCCACTGTGGGAGTTTCGTTATCGCCGTTGATGGCGCGATACAACGTACAGAAGCTGTCAATTGTATGGAAAAAATATTTATAACATTATAAATCCTAATAAATAACTCCTGTGCTTGCAATATATTTACTTAGTTCCAGCTAACTTTAATGTGTAAAAACTTTAATTAAAAAAATATTTTCTTGTGAGGGACTATCTGTTGAGGACTGTCATCCGATGTTCTTGTCTAATAGCTATAATGAGTAAGCCGCATGGATGTGAAATTGTCCGCGCAGAACATTGCTGACCAAATCTTGGGTCAGTTGTCAATAATGTAGCTTAGTTCCAGTCGCACTTAATTTATACTAATTTTTTTGATTGATGATAGATATTAATTGATTGCGTTATTACAAACAGAAACGTTCGCATCATCAAAACATTGATTTGTAAAGGAATATATATAGATACCTTGTTTTAAAGTGCAACAAGACCCCATTGTATTACCATTAATTTGCCAAAGAATATGATTCTATGCAGCCCATAACGTGGATGTAATATTGCCTTATCATATTATTACTATACAAAACAAATTGAATTTACTCGAAAGTCAATTACCGGTTTCAAATATCGAAACCAATAGTTCACTTTATTATGGTGGTATATAAATGGTTTACCTACTATGCTATAAAAATAAAGTGGACCATTTATGAGGTGATACCACTGGCAAAAAGTCGAAATAAAAATTAGTTGACAGCTAAAAATTCGGATAAGTCAACTGTCAGGTAAGTCAGGGTAAAGTCAGCTGTCAACAAATGACAAATCTTCAAGTTTTAATTTTACTATTTGAAAATTTGAACCACTTTTAGGTTAAGATAGATTGTAGGAATAGGAATTTATTCGTTAAATTTTGGCTGAAAGTGAATCATTTTTATTAATGTATCATCTTAAAATATGTCTTCAGCTTTAATCAGACAGGCGTTGGAATTTGTCGACCCAGAAGGTTAAACTATTACGAATATGAATTAGAAAATATACAATTTACTTGTTATTTCTCATGTTCTTTTTTTTTCTAACAGAACACAGCAAACTAAAAAAGCGTGGTAAGAAACGTTCGAGGTCTGCAGGTCAAGGTACATTAAATAAATTATTTTATTTGGAAATTGATAATAATACTTGCGTCATAGTCTGTCATATAGTTTTACAATCTTATTTTATTAACAAATTCAGATAAACACGATGGTTTCTAGATAATTCTATCTATAAACTGATCCTGCAAGTATTCATTGTTGACATTGGCAGGATCGTAATAAATACATATAGAATGGCACCTACATTAGATATCATGTCTATTTTATGTATTGTGAAAGTCAGATTATATTACTTTTTTCTATAATCTCGAATCCGCAAATTAACAATCTTGTCATGTCAATTACAAATAATGATACCATAAAAGTAACCAAATTATCAACAGATAGTGTAATGTTATCAAAGTGCAACAACACGAAAACCAATCTTAATTCATAAGATAGAAGTAGCCATTACATTGGTACAATTGCAGTCCCATCCTATCCCACCATTATACATATTAAATTTGGTAACCATCAGTGAGAGTAATGTTCCATTTGTCGGAATGGTTTTAAATTTGATCACTGTTTGCCATATTATACTATACTATAAATACAGTGGTTATTTCCCCTGTGTGATAAATTGACATACATGGTGTATGGTGTCCGCTTACAATGACATGTTTTATCTCTTATGGGTGTTTTAAAGCAGTCACCAGAGAATGTGCTTTATCATTCTTTGATTATTAAACCATCATATTATGATTGCCAATTAGCAAGCATTAGTGGTAGAGAATTTATAATCTTGCACCTGACCAACCTGACCGCTTATGCCACGAAGCAGTCATATCTTTTGTTTTCAAGGGTGGAACCCCCATATACTACAAAATTGAGATTTAGACCTCATGTTTCTATAGGGGTGGAGATATCCACATTGTGATGTCTATAGTCTGTTGTAATGACTTACCACCAGGTGGGCCCTGAGCCTGTTGCACTTGACTATGCAGTAAAAATATTTCTGCCATAAAAACTTTCTCCTTCCAGCAGTACCATAACTAGGAGGTATGATTTAGGGAAGAAGGTAGGAGATCGATTTATTCAGAGCTACGTACTTAAAATTCAAATGTTATACTATGTAGCCAATGAAAATCAGGTGTTTTTGAAACCATAAAATGATGTTCACTGTCTCTATGGTTGTTCAAAAATTCAGTTGAAATAATCTCCTGAATGTGCAGAATACACTACAATATTATAAATTATATTTAATCAAAATGCTTAAAACAAAAAATCCTCAATGCCTTCAACTCAACAAATTGTAGATTGGCGTAATCTCTCTTTCATTAAAAAAAGCTAACACTTTTTCCGTAAATTGCAGCAGTTCCTCATCCATACAAAAGTAGAAGTGGAAAAACGAACAACACAATTAATGATAATAAAGTTGACCAGAATATAAAAAAGTTGCTAGTTCTTTCCGAACCTGCAGCAGATCCCAATATTGTTGAAAAAGTAAGTTGCTAATACTATTACACAATCTAAGTTTATTTATATCATAAGACCATTATGTGTGTTTGACTTTCTATTTTCACACATATAACACACTGTCTTTTGGCTGCTATACTGATATTCCCTGTACTATGGGAACGGGGGACTGATATGCACAATTACATTAGTTTGAATATTATTTATTATAAACATTGATATTAAGCACCCAGAAAAGAACCAAACAAATCTGTTTGTCAGAGAAATGTTTGACTGATATTGGAATCTAAGTCTCACTCATGGAGCTAACTGCTTTTCCACTAAGTAATATTGATATGTTACCTGACTCTTCTACCTGCTAGGGCTGTTCTGAGCTTGTATGGATTGTTAACTGTCAAGACATTTTGCCCAGAGTTAAAAAAAAAAGGTACCCCTACTAAAGTTAATAATTAAGTTCTGTGACTCTTTAAAGTAATGTCACTCTACTAGTGACTGTAATTGGTTATGTAACATATACTACATAGATGGCCACTTCTCAACAAACAATAGTTTTGTTCTCCAAGTATATTTATTATTGTACCTAAAATTAGTATTTTTGTTATATTTGCATATGGTTTTTAGTTTGAGAAAAGAAAACTTTTGTAGTTATTATTAAAAGTGTACCTCCTACATGCAGAGATCTTAATGAGAATTGCAATGTCACAAATGCTTGATGTCAGAAATTAATTAATTTCGTTTTTCAATTTACTTTCAGATTATACAAAGGGCTAAAAAGCAAAAACCTTTACTTGAGAACACAGAAGTGAAAAAAGGTAAAGAAAAATCCATCCTTTTCCCTGAAGAAAAACAATCATTTCAAGACTTTGAAAAAGAATTGTTTTGTAGCTGAATTACATAATTATATTAAAAAATATATGTATATGGACATTCCTGATGCAGTCGTGGGAAAATTTATATTAATTTCTACGGCCACTCTATTTATTTTGACCACTCTCTGGATAAACACATACCCATTTTTGGATGAAGGTAGGTTTTTTGTTCCTGTGAAGGCCTAAACCTGATGTTATGCCATTTGTTATTATACTTATGGTTCATAGAAAACCCAGAGGCACAACCTGATGTTGCCTTCTACTCTCATGTCCTTGCATTCACTTACTTTTATATATCTCGCCCTGACCCGATTGTCTCATCACCTTGAGAGATGTGAGGCTTCAAACTAGAATGCATCCATTAATTGCAAATCCATTATGTGAGAGACCATTAGTTCAAGGGGAATAACGGATGGCAGAACAACAGTAAAGGAAAACACGGACAAAACTAATTTAGTATTTTATTAGAACTGGCCATATCACCTGTCTTAAATTTTTAATACTATTTTTTTTCAGATTCTGCTGTTTATGAATTGATCCCAAATCCAAAGTGGTTTCTACTATTCTGCGCTGTTTGGGGACTGTTCTTCATAGGGGGCCTAATGTCCTTCACCCTGTACCACATTTACCCTTATTTATAGATCTGAGCCACAAAAAATCAATTCAGTATCGTACAACAAACTTTGTTCCACCATCAGCAAATTTGAGCCAAAATTCAAATATGCCTGGCAAAGATTGGATCATAATCGGCATTTCCGGGGTCACTTGTGGCGGAAAAACGACCCTTGCCAATAAGTTAAAGAATGCCCTAACACCAGTCTACGTGTTTCATCAAGACAAATATTTTTATCCTGACGACAGTCCGAAACACATTAAGTGCGAAGGGTTAGACCACAACGACTACGATGTGCTGTCGTCGCTGGACATGGAGACCATGTACGATGACATCACGAAGACCTTGAGCGGCGAGGACAGGTCGCATGCCAACCGTTTGGAGGGAACATCCACCGTAGCCGGTACAAAGTTCTTGGTGATTGAAGGTTTCACGGTGTTAAATTATAAACCTATTATGGAGATCTGTGATTTGAGGTGAGAATTTTACTGTAAATATCAGTCTTTAAATTAGTGTCTCTAAATGTTGAATATTTACTGGAACTAGTGTTGTGGTTCTTATGTGAACGTTCTATTGGCATCTTGTGTCTGTGCAAACAGCTACTGATGCATAGGGATGTAACCTCTCTCATAGAAGTCTGTGGAATTAGTGAGAATGTGTTATCTACAACGTTACGTGATGGGCTGTGAGCTGCTCAATGCTCATGTAATGGAATAAAATAAATTCAATAAGCTACTAAAATGACTAGGTTAGCTATATTAGTTGGGACAATATATATTTTTTAATCTTCACTAATATTGATTTTAAAATTTTATTGCATGTGCTTATTTATTGCAAAATGACTTTAGACATTACTTTTATACCTTAACATAACATTTAGCCGGTTTTGTTTAATACTGATAATGAAGAAAAGGGAGATTTATTCCACTACCATATGTAAAACATCTAGGCTTAGCTAATTAATTTAATTACTATTTACTCGAAAATTTTTACTAATGTTTTTTCTGCATATAGTCTAAAGCGATGTGTGTGTTTGTTTTACAGATACTACTTCATCCTAGAGTACGGGGAGTGCGTGTCCCGCCGCGTGCTGCGACTGTACGACCCGCCAGACGTCGCCGGGTACTTCGACACGTGCGTGTGGCCGCGGCACTTGTACTACAGGGCGCAGGTAGGGTGCGACCGCGGCACTTGTACTACAGGGCGCAGGTAGGGTGCGACAGCGGCACTTGTACTACAGAGCGCAGGTAGGGTGCGACCGCGGCACTTGTACTACAGGGCGCAGGTAGGGTGCGACCGCGGCACTTGTACTACAGAGCGCAGGTAGGGTGCGACCGCGGCACTTGTACTACAGAGCGCAGGTAGGGTGCGACCGCGGCACTTGTACTACAGGGCGCAGGTAGGGTGCGACCGCGGCACTTGTACTACAGGGCACGTTCTGTTGTCGTTTCAGATAGAGAAGGACCGGCGCGTGAAGTTGCTGGACGCGACGCAGCAGGACTCATTCGAGGTCGTCATGGCGGACATCGACGCCCTCACGCGGTGAGCCCGGGGGGCCACGAGATTGGCGGCCACAAATAAATGTATCAATATAATCGGCATATATGTAATCGCAAAGTCAGTTTCGTATGCCCCGACAGAAGGCGCAAAGACTTCAGTCCCATGAGGTCGCTAGTTTCAATACAAGTTTTTAATCAAATTTTAAATTAATTTTAAATTAGGCTTCGATAGGCAGCGGCTTGGCTCTGCCCCTGGCATTGCTGAAGTCCATGGGCGACGGTAACCACTCACCATCAGGTGGGCCGTATGCTCGTCTGCCTACAAGGGCAATAAAAAAAAAAAAAAATTTGAATTTAAATTGATGATTACGCTGGCGACGGCTCCCGCAAATCTTGTTGTATTGCTGTATTGGTTTCTACAAAGTTTTCAAAAAAATATGTTATTACATCGGTGGTCCATAACGACAATAATTGTAATATTCTTTTGGCAGACTGTCGGTACTATAACAATGACACTGTCGAAAACCGTGCGCTGGTTGATAAATGACCTAATAGTATATCTAATGTTTCTATTTACTTTTGTAATAATTTTATATGGTTAAATTGTAATTTAATTATTATTAACGGAAAATAAAGAAATGTAGACGTACACTTTGTTATCGTTATTTTAGTTTTTCATTTGCATCCGAGGCTTACTTGATTGTTGTCCGCGGACATCATCACGTCAAAGGCTGCTGCTGCCCACCTGACAGTTGACGCACGAGGTTCATTGTAATGACACGAACATAGCCTTATTGCCTCATACAAAATATGTCGAAATGTAAAAATACCCACATTGTAAAGAAATCGTTACGGAGTCAAAATGCTTAATCTATACTAATATTATAAAGAGGAAAGATTTGTTTGTTTGTTTGTCTCGAATAGGCTCCAAAACTACTGAACCGATTTGAAAAATTCTTTCACTGTTTGGAATCTACACTATTCTCGAGTGACATAGACTATAATATTTTTCGAAAAAAATAGAGATCCTTACTAAAACTCTATTAATGTAACCCAAGGTGTAAGAAAAATACCTAAAATATTCTTTACACCGCGTGTCCTGCAAAAACTATTGATGATAGAATAAAATAATGCACTACGACTTGTAGAACACATTATTATTTACAAAAAGTGTCGCGACAGCATAATAATATGTCTAACTATTAAGTTATGCCGTAATAAGTGTTCTTTTATTTAAAAAAATAAAACAACGTCAAATATCGTTGAAATTTTTGTTAAAGACCCGAGCGGAGCCGGAGCGGGCCGCTAGTGTTTACAATAAAATTGCAAATCGGAAAGTTACAAGAGACAAACGCGCAATGTAACTCTAGCAGCTCGCCGCGCCCTGGACTCGTAGGGGTCAATGACCCTGCCCTTTTGTGCTACACATTGCTCGCCGCAGAATCACAAGAGCAAACTTGTCTAAATAATTGCTTTAGTCTAATTAATTTAACCGCAGTTTATATTCTGGAAGATAAAATCCGTCTGTGCTTTTTGAATTAAGTTGAGCTTGAGTTACTTCGTACTACTTTAGCGTAGAGCAAGAACAGTACAGTATAGTCAATGAATGAGTTAGAAGTAAGCAGTAGGGCGGCCGTGCGGTACTCACATGCCGCCGCCGTCGCAGAACTTCTTGCTGTCCCTGGACCGATGCTCGAGCGGCAACGAGCTGCTAACTTCCTCCTCCACTGAACGCTTCGACCTTTCTTCCAGTCTGTATTACATTTAACAATTACTGGTGGCAGGACCTCTTGTGAGTCCGCGCGGGTAGGTACCACCACCCCGCCTGTTTCTGCCGTGAAGTAGTAATGTGTTTCGGTTTGAAGGGTGGGGCAGCCGTTTAACTATACTGAGACCTTAGAGCTCATATCTCAAGCTGGGTGGCGGCATTTATTTTGTAAATGTTTATGGGCTCCAGTGAGCACTGAACACCCGGTGGGCTGTGAGCTCGTCCACCCATCTAAGCAATAAAAAATAAAAACATGGCCAGCCATCAGCTTTAACCAGTGAAAGGGAATCATCGTGGGCCGGACACATAGTTTCCCGGTTTAATAAACAATTGTACCAAAGACCTTTTAGTAAGGTTATTTTAGAAAAAGGGTTATACCACCAGCCCCGGCCCAACAGTAGGTACGTCCTCTAGTGCTCATGACTAAGAGGCGGCTATTTTTTTATTTTATTCATTGCAACATGTCTAAAAGGTGGTTCATTATGTACATAACTCGAACATTGGTCACACTGGGGAGTACGCACCGTGCGGGCGCGGCGGGCGCGGGGGTGAGGCGCGCGACGCGGGGCAGCGTGGCGTCCGCGCGCAGCACGGGCAGCGTCCTCGACAAGAACCGCAGCGTGTGGTTGCGAATCAGTTCGCTGGAACACGTCAACAATACATTCGCACCGTTTCATTGCTAATCATACCTCACAAACAAGTTATACATATGATTAAAAGATAAACCTATAACTAACAGCTACAAACACAAGACATCGGTTTGAGTTTCATTAATTTTCTATAAACTGATGGTTGAGTTTGCCGCGTCACCAATGAAAACTTCGAAAGTCTCGTATAAAATGAGTATTTTAATAATTATCAAACAGTCTCAAACACAGGCCACCTTTCAACCCACCCTCTGATGAACCCATTCCCTTTTTGTAGCCGAATGACTCTTAGTGGGGCACTTTCAAAGGGCCTCTCACGTGGAGACTTGTGAACGTAAACTCGGCAAACGTNTGGTTGAGTTTGCCGCGTCACCAATGAAAACTTCGAAAGTCTCGTATAAAATGAGTATTTTAATAATTATCAAACAGTCTCAAACACAGGCCACCTTTCAACCCACCCTCTGATGAACCCATTCCCTTTTTGTAGCCGAATGACTCTTAGTGGGGCACTTTCAAAGGGCCTCTCACGTGGAGACTTGTGAACGTAAACTCGGCAAACGTCAAATATGTTTAAAATATGTTTTTTATATTTATTTTTTTATATAAGGTTGAGTAATTTGAACAATAAAAGTGGACAGGTTGAAAAAGCGATCAATAGTCCATCTGCTAATAATACCGCAAAATTCAGATTCTGCTTGCGACCGGGCCAGTTTCTTTGTAGAAGTTATATGGTTTTCGGGTCCAGGGTTCTTGTCTCGTGTGTATTTCGGGTACACATGGGACAGTTCGCCATTCTGCGCTCAAGGCGTTTTGTAATTCAAGTGTTTTTTGTCTATCTATTAAACCAAAAGTACCTAATGATTATCTTCAATACTTACAAAGGGTAAGGTTCACCGCGATGGTACTGCCCCATGGGGTTGCGCGGTATGAGGCCGCGGTTGAGGTCGCCGCACAGGTTGTCGGCCGACACGTGCGCCCGCCCCCCCTCCTTGCACTCGTCCGACACTTGCCGGTACGGGGGGGGACGCACTCTGCAACACCACAACAGCGGTCAGAGATGATTATTTCTAAGCACTGGCTACTCCCGCACACTTGCAGACTTCAATATTTACTTGCACTCGCTCACAGCGTCACAGCGCAGACCTTCGCCATGATCGTACCCTTGTCTCACGTGTATTGCTATAGATACAGAGACGAGTTCGCGTTCTACCAGCAAGGACATTGCATGATACTCCAATGAGAATGAGAGGCGTCGCTTAGGATTACAGTAATTCGTCTGCAACAGTGACCACAGTGTGCGCGAGAAGCCGAGGGCTGAGGCTTGGAGCCGACTCTGCCGCCTCTAACGTACGGAGCGTGGTGCAACACCAGTGGACTCACCTGGGCGGTGTGGCATTCGGTGATTCCACAAAAGCGTAGTATCCTTCAGGAGGCTCTTCGGAATTAGAATCCAAGTCGTCATCCAGTCTCGGCTCTGGTGGCGTTGAGGTTTCGGGAAGAGCTGCCGATAGTACCGCCAGTAAGGTCTGGGAACAATAGTTAGTACGTTAATAATTACTGAGGAATTGCTTTCAATCAACTACCGTCGTGTCTACAAGACATTCATAGCTTTTGACAGTTGAGTGTGAATCTCGTATAGGTCTAGGAATCTCTACACAACGACATATTGATTTTCTCCAAAAAGCGAATTGTAGGATATCTCCCTAGATGTAAACGAGGCCTGAAAATATTTCGATTATAGACTGTGGTACATGTACACAAGAGATTCGTGAAACGAGCCTATAATCATACAAACTATGTCTATTAAGTTTTGAATAATACAACAATATTCCAGTTTTATGGAGCATAAAAGAAACTTAAAAAAGAAAATGTGTTTAAGCAACATAGATTGTGATTTCAAAGATACAAGATATGTGCAATGTGAACATTTCCTCAGCATATAGTATTTCAGTTTGAAAGTATGGTTAGCGTGCTCATGCAATAGAGAGGTGCCTGACGACGCTCATCACACAGCTCTATTACATTTGTGTGCCATAAGCAAAATATGGTTTCATCTGTATTCGTACCAAAATAACAACCAGACAGTACTGTACAATTTCGTTGAAAACGTGGTGATGAGGAAGCAAAGTATAAAAATAAAACTTTTTTTTTATTCCTTATATGGGTGGACGAGCTCACAGCCCGCCTGGTGTTAAGTGGTTACTGGAGCCCATAGACATCTACAACGTAAATGCGCCACCCACCTTGAGATATAAGTTCTAAGATCTCAGTATAGTTACAACGTCTGCCCTACCCTTCAGACCGAAACGCATTACTGCTTCACGGCAGAAATAGGCGGGGTGGTGATACCTACCCGTGCGGACTCACAAGAGATCCTACCATCACTAATTTAATGATTTACGTCATGAATTGAAGCGCACTTAATTAGACTTTTTGCTGACCGGTGTGCCACTGTAATTTCGTGCCTAAACCCACTTCCATCTGTCTTCCGATTCCGCTCAATTAACTCTTACAAAAGAAAATACTTCCACTCGTAATTTCACATCAAATTATACACAATAACTGGGACACTACCAGACAATGTCTAAGACAGAGACAATTTAGTTTTTTTTTATGTTCAATCGGCGCCGATTTCTATAGGAAAGCGCTCGTATTGTGGCCGGTTTTGTTGAAGGAATAGGTTACGGGCACACGTCTAGCTCTGAGTTTAGGGCTTGGTAACAAATAAGGTGTAATTAGGGTCGTCGCTCGTCAAATTCAACTTTTGATAGGAAAAACTGTTGATAGGAAAATAATTACTAGTATTAGACACGTCCTGCTAGTTTTACTAGGTAATTGTGAATACGCTAATAAGATAATCTAATCAGTAATCTCAGTCAACGGCAGGTGTCGGTGCCTGGACTGCTTTCACAACTGGTAGGTACCTGTACTACTTTTTATATTTAGACGACATACATTCAGAGTAATCTGCAGTAATGGTTACACCGTATATTTTATTGAAAATTATCATGGTAACTTTTATACTTTTTATCACCGTCAGGCCTATTCTCCCGCGCGGATGGTTATCACCACCCTGTCTAGTACTACCCAGAAACAATCTGTTCGAGTTTGAAGGGCAAGGCAGCTGGTACACTAAATCAAGACTAAAACTCACTCCTACTCTAAAAGTCATCCGTAACCATGAAAACTAAAGTATTCAAAACGTTCGGAATGATATATTGTTATTATACCAGTATGTTATGTTGGAAAATAGTAAAAGTGGTTTTTATAATGGCGTAATTATATATCAGCTCCCGAGTCACGACTGTTGAGTGGTATTTTTTTTTCTTCAAACAGTCAGGCTAAGCCATGTTACGTTAATAGTGGATGAGAATCCACTGGCTGTATTACCAGCGCCTATAACCCGGACAAAATGAAGCGAGCCTCAGCCGAAGATGCGTTGGCCGCATTCCTGAAGGCACTCGAAAGGATTTCAATTAATTTTCTAAGGATTACAAGTTAGAAAACTAATTAAATTAATCGTAGGTCTACACTTCAGACAAGGAAAGGGAAGGTAACAATAATTTTCCCTAGAAAGGTCCGTAATATTTTCTAAAGTTTCGCGGCATAAAAAACAAGTAACTTTAATTATGAATAATTAAACATAGTTAAAAAACGTTGTTATCCTAAATTACGTGATTAATTATATGGTTTTTTTATTTTACTTGCAAATTAACCTTATTCTGGTTATTATTGTCTAAATTAATAAGGTGCGGTGTCGCGCGGTAGTCGTTGTACTAGAAACAAAGTTATTGGGTTGGCTGCTCTTCAAGAATCACGCGAGGATGTGACGGACCAACTATAAGAATGCAGCAGAAGGTAGTGTGTACCAAAAATAACTCCAGAAGCTTTGATATACATTTTTAGGAGATGTATTCCTAATTAGACGACTCAAGTTGTAATAAAAATAAATATGACGAGAGAAAATGTTACTCTTTTCTTTTTTTATTGCTTAGATGGGTGGATGAGTTCATAGCCCACTTGGTGTTAAGTGATCACCGGAGCTCATAGACATCTACAACGTAAATGGGCAACCCACTTTGAGATATAAGTTCTAAAGTCTCAAGTATAGTTACAACGGCTGCCCCCCCCCCCCCCCCCTCCAAACCGAAACGCATTACTGCTTCACGGCAGAAATAGGCAGGGTGGTGGTACCTACCCGTGCGGACTCACAAGAGGTCCCACCACCAGTAAAAAAGCACTGGAAGTAAGCAGTTTAATATTCTGTTGTTGTTACGAGCCCGCGACATTCGTACGTGGGTTAAATGTTTTAGTATGAACTAAATGCGCCGCTACATCGAGTAGTAGTAGCCGGTGCACACGCAGAGTTCCGTTACAGAGAACCAGACCGCGACCGGCTCACTGAACTCATTTACACAAATGTACACGGAAACTTGGGAACTGATGCCTAACTCTTACATGTAAATAGACACCCCAAGACTCGTCGAATGAAGCTTATTAATTTAGTAGCTACAAGAGTACAGTGTGCTTAGTGCGAGTTTTTTAACGTACTCGATAACGTAAAAGTTAGCTCATATTTGTATGGAATGGGATTGTTTGCGTACGTTTGCCGCTAGGGGCGCTGTTCCAACTGCATACAAAATTGGGTTAACTTTTACGCTATCGAGATCGTTAAAAAACTCGCACTAAGCACACAGAAGAACATTCCCAATTACGTCTATTGCTAATATTATAATCCTCTATTTGCTAATGTTGTAATCGTCTATTAGTGACGTTAGTAAGACGCTAAAAGACAGCTTGTCCTAAGTTCACGAAGAAAACTAATTTAATAATAATTAATAACTACTACCCAGTTTTTAAATAATTCAGAACTATTTATCTTTTATCGGAATTTATAGACGTGGATGCCGCCATCCCCTGGACATGAGGTCGAATTATAAATTGCATTTCATAGCGACTGGCTCATCGTTCAAACCGGAAGGCACGATGCTTTCCGACAGAAATAGGCAGGATGGTGGTACCTACCCGCACAGACTCACAAGAGGTCCTACCAAAAGTAATTATGCAAATTATAATTTTGCGGGTTTCATTTTTGTTACACGAAGTTATTCCTTCACCGTGGAAGTCAATCGTGAACATTTGGTAAGTACGTATTTCATTACAAAAATTGGTACCCGCCTGCGGGATTCGAACACCGTTGCATCGCTAGATACGAATGCAGCACGACGCGTAGGCCACGACGACTATATAGCGTATTCTAGAGTATTGTAACTAGCTACTATTCTAACTACTACTCTACTATTCGTTCGACCTCGAATTTCTTACTTGACTCTTACAATATCTATGGGAAGAAATGGGTTGGAGATAAACATCAGTTATAGGTAGGTTAAGTTAGCACCGGTTAGAATAACGTGGAATAATTAGAGAGTTAGATCAAAGAGTTGATTACAAAGCATGGATTAATGAGGGTATAAGGGGTGGAACCAATGACATGACCGCCAATAGAGGGGTAAATGTTAAATTATATCTATGTAGACCCTCCGCAGGTGCCGGTGGAAGATCAGCGCCGCAGTACCGATAGTCTCGGTACTGTTAGGCATTGCTGAGCCGGTAACCGTTTCCAAGTCTTGTTATTTTTCTATTAATTTTTATTTCATTTTTTGTAAATTTATGTTTGGAATAAATGTTTATTATTATTATTAGACAATACTGAATGTGATTACAACAATCTTAATTTAAAATAATACGGTGGACATACTACCAAGCCAAGCGTAAATCAGAACAGAATATAATTTCTCTACGTTTTGAAACAGTAAATGAAACACCGAATATAAAGTTTTTATCTTTATTTTGATCACAAACTATAACTTTTACTCATAAATAAACGTGAAAATATGAACAAAACGAAAGCGCAAGTGACCTGGATGCCGACGCGACGGCTCAGTACCTACTCGACTTTGAGCATTCCGTATTGTGAAATATAATCACGCTAAATTGCCGTTTGTGGCCAGATTTTTTTATATCTAGCTTTTTAGTTCCGTATATACTCATCATATGTGCTTACACTCCACGTAATACTGAATTAGTGGTTTCTTGTTTTTTATTTCCCGAGCAGGCGGACAATCTTACGGCCCACTTGATGGTAAGTAGTTACCGTCGCTCATAGATGTCAGCAATGCCAGGGCCAGAGCCGCTGCCTACCGCTTAATACTCTCCACAGGTCTCGTTTGAAGAAGGACATGTCATAGCCTTCAGGAAGCACCGTGGAGTGGAGCTCATTCCAAAGCCGAATGGTATGTGGCAAATATGATCTATAGAAACGCACTGTGCATGAACGCAGTGGCTCCAGGTAGTATGGATGATCTCTACCCCGGTGGCGGGCGGTGCGATGGTAAAAACGAGATGACGGTATCATATCAAACAATTCCTCAGACCACTTCCCATGGAACATACGGTACAAAATACAGAGGAAACCGAAGTCCCTCCGCAGACGCAGAGGTTCCAAATGATTCGCGAGAATGAGTTTAAATATTGTTTGTCTTTATTAATATTTGCCTAAAGCGCAGTCTTGGCGAAATCTGCACTGAAGTATGAAACCTAGGTCTATGGAAATCTGTGATTATAGAATTTGACAATAGAATCATAATAAAGTACAAACTTATAATTTCAATTAAATAAAGTCGAATTTCGACTACCGGGGGAGCACTAGTATTTATAAATCTTATACCTTTAAACGAGCAATTCTTGTATATTTAATATATGTATATATAATCTGAATCTCAGAAACGGCTCCAACGATTTTCATAAAATTTAGTATACAGGGAATTTCGGGGGCGATAAATCGATCTAGCTACGATTTATTTTCAGAAAATGTTGTTTTATTCGTGTTTTCAATAATCAACTTCATCGATAATTTTGATTTTTTTCTTTAAATAACCAGTTCATATTTTTTATTATTCTGTCGGTAAGATCATAAAATATTATTCATATTTCATCATTTTATCAATATGTAATTCGTATTTAATTATAATTTCTAAAAAACACAATTTATCAAAAAAAAACCGGTCATTATCTAATTATATATTAATTCATAAATGTACATTATTCATAATGGTTCTACGAACAAAATATCAAAATATACTGCATAAGGCTTCGCTGGCAGCACAGCTTAACTGATAGCCAACAAAGTTATTTATTATTATATTTCGTTACGATTAAAATATCGTAGAAGCTTGAAATCGAATATTATCATTAAATACTGCCGTTGGCGTTAGTGGCAGAATTTTTAGAGCGGTTATTATCTAGTACTATTAGTACTAGTACCTTAAAAGCTTAAACAGAAAGTTTATAACAGAGAAGGAACATTCCGTGCCGTAAAAGTTACGACGGGTGACCGGCCCGGCCCGGTGTGCTGTTGACCGCGTTGTGTGTCCCGGTGCCGCGTCCTTCACTCGGTTACGAACCGGCGGTCGTCAACCCCAACACATTCCGTTACTCTTGTACAATTTACTTAACATTACTTACTATTCATCCATATTAATAGGACCCTGCTGTTAAGTTGGTAGGCGCGCTACGGTTCGACATTCTGGAGTTTTTAATGTTTCGTCGTAGTCTTAATAAAAAGTTATTCAATAGAAATATTTCTGCCGTGAAGAAGTAATGCGTTTCGGTTTGAAGGGTGGGACAGCCGTTGTAACTATACTGAGACCTTAGAATTCATATCTCAAGGTGGGTGGCGGCATTTACGTTGTAGACGTCTATGGGTTCCGGTAACCACTTAACACTAGGTGGGCTGTGAGCTCGTCCACCTACTTATACAATAAAAAAAAATGAAACATTTTAAATACAATCTTCCCATACAAATTGCTTGAAGGACACGGGCAGGCGAAGTGAAGACGACAGCGTCTGTTAGTTATACTAGTTTCATGACCTTTATTGTATTTAGGTAGGTAGATATCTGATTGAATTGTTTTTCAGAGTTTTCTATAAATAAATAATAGCGAGGGTTGAAATAATAGCGATATTTCGCGTAATACGTCACATTTATCTTTGTAATTAAAGGTGCATTTTATTTGGTATTATTAACATCAACAGTTCGGTGTTTTTAATTGAACATCAATTATTTTTACTCCATGGAAATAGCTGAAGAAGGTTTTTTGTTATGATATTTCTTTCAAATTTTAAAATTTCAATAACTCTCCTGTACAGTTGCAAAAATGTCTCTTATAGTCGCAAATAGTCTTTCAACTTTCGATCGAAAAACGGTCACTTGTGAAGTGGAGTCTGCCGTTGGAGTGGGGTTCACAGGGCTCATGATTACTCATGGGAATCATAGCGGTAGTTCACAGATATTTTCCCGCCGCATCACAACTGTTTCGGAAGGAAAACGGCTGTTGCATTTCTCTTTAGAAGAGATTCGCGGTAGATGACGTCTAGAACTGCCAGAAAATAGTGGCCTATCCCATTGTCATAATTCCTGTGCTGTGTACTGTTTGCACACGCACGCGGCCGGCACGTCTCTGACACAGATGGATCATGAACACGTTCAACAAGTGAGTTCTACATTAGCCTCTCCGCATTCTTCGCAGGTGATTCACACTTGTTTATGCTTTACATCATCCTTTTATAGAACCCGTTAAACTTTCACACAACGATTGATTATCAAATTAAGCACACGTTACGGTCGACTCGAAATGAGCCGTTAAAATAGATATTTTAAATAACAAAAGGCCGTATTAGGTAAACGCTTTATATGGATAGAGACATATTGATTTTTGTTTTGTTTTTAAAGTTCTTCAATACCGTATGTAGAATAGAGTAAAACTGTATTCGTACTGTGAGCAATGTCGATCGCTTGTGGGTTTGCTCGTTGTATAATTTTAACCCCTTTTAGTTTGGTATGTATATCCATGTTTATCTGTCTTTAACGGAATCTTTGACCGTAATTTTCACTAATATCAAGTCATCCGATTCACTTTTAAATTTTCCACGCGTATCGAGGAACGATGACAATACAATAATTTTATAACTTCGCTCTAATATACTGACCAGTATATTAGAAACCAGTTAACAGGATTAAAAACAGATAAAATTAATTATTATTTCGATTTGTTATTTATGCGTCTTTTTATTTTCATCTGCATATATTATTGTCCTAAATGGGCTTAGATGGACTGCGTGAACGAAAATATACAACAGAGTGAGATGTGAGTGCAGAGAATGGCAGAGATGACGTATCATAGGCCTTATTGGAAAAATAGGAATCATAGCCGATCGCTCGTAGTGGGACTAAGGCAAGAAGAATTGTATTAGTGCACAACGCAGAGAAAAACTGCTCGAGGTGGACGAACACGCTCACAGGTCTATCTGCTCATAGATACTCATAAACATGACAAGCCAAAGATAAATAGAGAGAATGCTGCTGATTTAGGCTAACAATACGATCTACTACTTCTTGTGGTTTTGTTATTACATTAAACTTTTTTTTGTTGCTTAGATGTGTGGACGATCTCACAGCCCACTTGGTGTTAAGTGGATACTGGAGCCCATAGACATCTACAACGTAAACGCGCCGCCCATCTTGAGATATAAATTCTAAGATCTCAAGTATAGTTACAACAGCTGCCCCACCCTTAAAACCGAAACGCATTACTGCTTCACGGCAGAAATAGGCGGGGTGGTGGTACCTACCCGCGCGGATTCACAAGAAGTTATCTAGGACATGAGTGAGAATTTGCTGCGCCCACTGAAGGCAGTATGCTTAGTGCGAGCTTATTAACTTCTCGATCGCGTAAAAGTTAACTCAAATTTGTATGGAGTTGGAACAGCTTCCCATCGTTTGCCGCTAAGGGCGCTGTCCCAACTCCATACAAATATTAAATTTAAACACTACTCGTAACCACACTTGTCTCGCGCATCGCGTCACAGAGTGTGAAGACTGTTCAGGGCTTGACCCGAATCCAAAATATTTAAATTCCAGATGCGATTTCTAGATTATCATTCTGATTTGCTTTTACTGCTTACTGTATTTTAAATTAGTGAGTCGAGGCATGATCATTTATGGAATGGTCTTTAGTCCACTATTTCTTAGTCTTGCAGCTAGGAAACGTTGCCTGCTTATTACACAGAAGCTACCAGGGTAACCCACTTCGTTACCAACCTAAATAACAAAGAGCAAGTAGGTTAAGTACGCAAAACATCGCCGAGAATCACCAAATCTTGGTGCACCTTCGATCATATGCCAAGAGAGTGAGAAGGTCTGAAAAGCGATCTCAAAATAGTGTAATGTGGCCGGGGACAATTGTGCAACAAAAGAACACATTAGAAATTTGTAAACTATTTATGTGCTTTTGAAATGTCGTCCATCCCACAGTTGGCACAGAAATGAAATCTTATAAGGCGGTGAGTCGGCGCAGTACCGTTTCTCATGCATACCGCATGAGGTGGACTCAGAACTGTGACCGATTTAACTGGGACATAGGTATCACAAACTATATGCATGTAGCGATACGAATAGAATTATTGTAATTCGATTAAAATGTTCATGTAGAATAATTGTATATTGAGATGATTTGATTGTCGCTTGTATGAAGAATGTACT